AAACATGCATTAATATAAACACGGTAACACTCTATGAAAGTAAATGAGTCCCACCAGCTTTAAGTCAAAGTTTGTGTCTAATTGATGTGGTGACAAAGTTCTCAGATAATTACATTTGTGCTTCAGCCACTAATGAGAGTCAGGAAAAGCAGGCGAGTCAGCAGCCTTCGCAAACATCTGATCAGCCTTCTTGCTGTCTTTGATGAAGATCTGTGCTGAAGGAGCGGCGGCGGTGGTTGCAGCACCCAGCTAATGTCCACCAACAGAGGAAGGCCTTATTAGCCAAAATCGTTATTGATCTCACATCTTAGCCACAACCAACCCTAACCGCCCAAACTCTTCCTCCCATCGTGCTCGCCAATTAGCTCTATCAAAAAAACAAGGCCAATTAGTGCTTGTGCCTAATTAGGACAAACATGACCCCCATCAGCCCTAATTCTGTGATTAGAGTTACAGATCACTGGGCCGAGGCCCGGATACAGGTTCACGCTCTGATTTGCTCCTGTACTTTTTAATGAGTTCAGTGAGTGTTTTGGAGTTTTGTTAGGTTGTATACCGTCTTTGATCATACAGGAATGTGCATGCATACGTACAGTTTCGTATAACTAAATAAACACATAGAGTACTCTGTAAATTGGCAAATATTGCTCAGAGTTAAAGGCCAGTGTTTGAAACTGGATTGAACATTTTTTAATCTCTGCACTTTCTATCGGGTCCTGATACATTTATTGTAATACAGATTTCTGCAGCATTAATTCTATTTGTGCACAATTGCACACCACCTGTTATGTATCACCTGTATCATATTTTATACACTTATTACTTATCACTGCTTTCTGAGACATCTTTAAAAATCGTTAGGAACGAATCCATGGTAAAAAGAAATGTTTCCGATTTAGAACCATAGAACCACCATTAGAGCTTTTAGAAGCTCTTATTGTGAGACATTTAAAGTCGTGCTAATGTTACTGCTAATTGGTAATGGCATTTATCTGTCGTGAAAGGAAAGAGATTATTATATCTTTTGAAAAATAGAATATAATAGAATAGCCCTTTATTGTCAGTGTACATGTAAAACAAAATTGTAGAACTAGAAGACTTCATTGGTATCTGTATTCTCATACAGTTAACAAAGCGTACCAGTTCTTCTGAAGGGACAGGTGGCCAAAATTTGGAAAAAACACAAACCGTGTCAATATATGAATAGAAACAAGTAAAAATGTCAAACATCATTAAATAGATACATGTATTTACATTTTTTCCACCTAATTGTAACACACAGATGTGATGTACGGTATTTTTGACCAGACTTGCCTGCTTTCATTTGAAATGAGGCATGAAACAACAGTTTGATTGAACTGTGCTGTGACTGCAAAGATCGAACAGAAGGTGAGCTTCCTGTTTATCTCCTGTTACTCTTGTAAACATCACCTGTTCAAAGATGGCTCCCCTGAGAAAAACACTCCACTCTGACAGTGTCGGAGAACTCGCGATGACAAACAGTGACAGACAGAGGGGCTGAACCTTCCAGGAGGAACATCTGTAACTCTATTTGGCAGGGTTAGTGCAAGATCGACTTATAGACAGAACAGATTATTTTGAAATAAATGGGTTTAAAAGTAAAAAGCTTAAAGTTGAAAATAAGGGAGGTCACTGAAGACCTGCCTGAATTAACCTGTCCTGTATCATTTGATGCCACTCTTAAACATGTAGAACCGTGAACACAAAAACCCTTATACTAAACATTAAGTGAACAAACCCTTGTTATAGAATTTTTTTAAACTTGTGCAGAGTCTCGAGATCGGAAAGGAGAACAGCCTGCATAGAAAACACACCAAATCTCAGCTGTTCAAAGCACTTTCAGCTCAGTTGTGGCACTGGCACGATCTGCTCTGGTAGCCAGATGTGGCCCAACAGCACACCTCAAGTTTGCCACATAAAACTCAAGCCGTGCTTTGAGTTAGCAGGATTAGCCAAAGCCAAATGTGGCCTAAAGGAAACTGTAAGTGCAAGGCCACATTTGGGCCAAATGGTGATTGCTGTGTGGGAGGACTAGCTTTAATTATGAGATCAGATTTGACACCGTCTGTGGTGGCCTGCATGCATTACCTGGCCTGTAATCTGTTTGTCAGGGGAGCAGGATGGGTAAGATCAAATTTCCTGAAAGTCCAGAGAGTGTGAAGCTTTTTGGGCTCAGCCTCTGTTTTGATAGTGACAACTCAAAAGCTTCAGTTTAATCTGCCTAAATCTGCAATCATGTAAATCTGTGTCACATTAGCTATTATAAATAATTTAGGTCATAAGTACTGTAAATATCAATCCCTCAAATTACAATTGAAAGTAACTTCCATGCATGTGTATAACCACGAGGAAATGCTGGCGTGTAAATGCTGCCTGCCAGTATTCCCTTGTTCAGTGGGCACTGGTTAAAATGCTACAGAGCCGAATGTAATATTTGCTCCTGGAAGACTTTTCTAATAAAGTTTCTACTGTTCTCCCACCGGCAAAGTCGATGGCAGTGATCGCAGCTTTAGTTTAACAAAGTTCCCGTGCACACAGTAGTCCAGCTGAACTCAAGTGCTGAGTCCTTCGTCTGTTGTTGTGGAAGTGAGTCAAGTTTGGAGTGTGTTCAGCTGTACAGCTCTGAGGCAGTCCGTGCTCTATAAGCCTCCTGCTGACACGACGTTTGGAGGCAAAGCACTTATTAAACAGCCGCTCTGAACTCGGCAGCCACTCGCACATGACTTAACATTTTTGCAAGCACCTTGCTTTTGCATGGGAAGTGCTTAAAAACTAAAATCCATGGCAGCGGCGGCCGTGAGAATACGGGAGGGGAAGCGTTGAAAAAAGACAGAGCGCGTCCGCTACTCAGCACTCCGCGGGATTAGAACGCACACATCAAGCCGCAAACAGACAGAAAAGCCGACTGTAGCTCCTTTTTTGCAAAAAGGAGGCAATGAATTTCAATTATGCATGAAGCAGAGGCCATTTTGGGAAATAAGCGCCATCCCCCAGGAGGACCGCCACCTCCTCTGCCCCCTCTTGAGCCCCTAGCCTCTAGTATCAAAGAATGATCTAATGTCACGCACAGGAGAAAGGTTACTTTCTGCATACGCATTGATATTTCTGCTTCCATCTCTGACCTTTTTCCACTCTAAGCTGTGATTTCTTTAAAATGCGAACTCAGCCCCGCGTCTGTCTGTCAGTCTCCATCTGTCTGCCTCCGTACCTCAGAGGTACCTCAGAGGTACAGGATGAGAAGCTTCAACAACTTACAGAAAAACAAAAAAAGAAAATCCAGATTTGAGAAATCGTGACCGTAATAATCACACACTAAAACACAGATGTTTTTTTTCTGCAGCCATCATCTTTCATTATGTCATTTTTCTTTTTCAAGAACAAGGCAGTAACAGAATTGTTATTTTAGCCTTAAGTGGCTGTTTGCGAAACCTAATTAATATTTTAATGAACCTGAGCGTGTTTTTCCCTCCTTCACTAAATCAGCTGATCCTGTTTCACGCTCAGCGCCCATCGTTGGATCTGCGCATTCCTTCTGTCAGCAACAAATTCCTGGCACTTTGTGAACTATTAGTGACTTTAAAAATACACAGAGCTTTAATTAATTTTCTTCAAATAGAGAGAACTGCGTGTGGATAAAGGGGTAATGACAGTTTTAATCAGCATCTCCTGCTCTCGCCAGCCTGTACACAGCTGAACTGTGACACTGCACTTGCAGTTTTGTTAGATTTTACAGAACAAAAGCATCATTTATGAGATCTTTGGATACATATATACCAATATTTATTCAGCAAACACATTTATCTGACTGTAGTCAAATGCAATTTACAACCAACTTTGGCTTTTAGCTGCAAACTCTCAGGGGAAATTGTTCTGCTACATAAGACAAAATCCCACAGATGAGCATTAATGCACAAAACAGCAAGTAAAGTTCAACCTAATAAATAACAATAAAAAAGAAAGACTTGCAGACACACATTTGTTACTGCTGGAGGTATTTATATGCATATACCTGGAAAAAAGTGCTAGCCTATAGTAACCGGAATCCAAGCTTTATCATAATAGGTTGCAAAGAAGAAAAAGCATCAGAGTCCAGCTTGCTCTCTTCAAATCTGAGAAAGGAAATAATGGGCATATCCATCCCGAACTTAAATACAGATCTTAAATCCTTGTGTCCGTATCCCCGGCCTGTTCAATCAAATTCTGCAGATTTGCAAATGTAATCAAAACTCCCATCTTCAAAGCTTCATTTGTATTTTAGCCAATATTCATATAGCTAAGGTGACATGGAGTGACAATCAATTCTAAAGCTTCTCTGACTTTTTATTTATTAGCTTTAAAAGGTCCAGGTTTGGGGCCTCATTTGCTGAGATGAGACAACAACAACAACAACAAGCGACGGGACACTACCTATACAGCTCAGAATAGCAGACAGACACCGTTAAAGACCATTCCACAAAAAGACACATTACAGGCGCTTCTCTTCACAGATGTGGCAAATAATAGCATTTTGTCAAAGCTGCTGTTGTGTACAAGCACAAGATGTCCTTTGGCAGCAGTGTGTAACCCACTGGGTTATGACAATAGTGAGATGGGGCTGTCACTGCAAATATATTTTTCTGCAGTGGTTGAGTGTGATGTGCTCCTTTTAACCCAAACCTTGAGAAAACACCAAAAAACACTCTTTCTAACCCTAACCGAGTAGTTTAAAGTGTCTAAACCTCACCCGAGAGTAATAGTGGAAACAAAAGCAGGACAGGACTTGAACTTATCCCACCCAAATCCTTAAAACCTCCTAATCTGGATCGCTATTGTTGCAGCTGGTGCATCAAGCCCAGACTAGAGTTTATTATTTATTATCTCAGGCTTTTTATGTGAAACCTCTGCACCGTAATGTCATCTTCATCTCCCACCTTTCCTCGCGCTGCTGTTTCCACGGTACTCATGCTTTCTCTTCTCTGTTTTGTTGTGTCTCTCTGCAGATCTCAGGCCTCTTCCCGACGTGGCAATGACCGGTAAATGCACCCGGGAGTGCACCGAGTTTGGCCACTCTGACTCCTGCTGGATGCCCGGCCAGCCTTCTCCCAACCGCAAGGTATCCAAGAATGCCCCCAAGCTCTCCACCTTCGTGCCTTACCAAGAGATGGACGGGCAGGAGCAGCTGATGGCCAACGGCAGCCCCAAGCCCCTGCCGATGGAGGAGCGTGGACCAGGTGGTGGCGGTGGTGGCAGCAGCTCCAAAGTGGCCAACATGCGTTTCATGACACCCTACAGCAGTGCCTACCCCAGTGGCGGAGATTCATCCAGTAAAGACTGTGGCATGGAGGAGATCCCGCTGAGCCAGGCGGTGGAGTACCACTCAGCTACCACTCCAACCGGCCAAACCTCCAAGAGGGAGATCTACCTGTGAGGGCACAGCTCTCCACCTTAAAACCCACACTCATCGCCCAGCGCTCCCCATCGCCCAGCTGCTCGCCACCACCTGTCGCACCCCCTCACAGCTGCCCCCTGTGCCTATAACTTGCTGTGCCACAGCACCTACTCCCCCTTTTACCTTTTTTATAAATGCATCTACCTACAAGGCTTTAGCCCCCTCCACCTCTACCCACAGACATCCCCACCCCCTGCAAAAACCAATCACATGTAAAATAGAAGAAATTCAAAATCAATTAATGAAAATGCGGCTTGAGCTGCTTTGGAAGGAATGTAAACTACACCACATTGTTGTGATAATTTAAATGGGAAACTATTTAGCTACTCACATTTTTCAGCTGGATTTTTTGTGTTGCTTTAGCTTTGTTGCTGTGTGGGACCGGAAAACGGAAAAAAACAAAAAACAAACCTTCCGGGGGGTGAAGGGAAATAACTTCTTGTAAATCCTACTTAAGTATACTGTGTATTGCTATCTATCCTCATTTTCTTTTTTTGGATTTACTTTTCTTTCTAGTTTTTCTCTGTCACCTTCGAAGACACAGGGAAATATTATGTTTTTAAGCCAAGTTGCATCAAATCAACTGGCTTATTTTTGTCAGGAGCAGCTCATCGTTAACGTGAGACATTTGTAGAAAGACAGCTGTTTTCCAATCTTGAGATATTTAGGGTTTCTTTTCTTTATTTTGCTGTGGAGAAGTCTTTTTTTCATTGTACAGGCTGTAAATATTACAAACAGTGACAGTGGAAACTGCTGTGGCAGAGCGGATCCGTGGCCGTTAATCTTTCTGCAGCTCTTCATGTAACACTGGACTGAAAATGGTTGCATGTAGAGAGAAATGATGCCGTGGCATTCGCCGTCACACTGCAGGAACCTGGACTCTTGAGCATCACCAACGGTGCCGAGTTACAAACACAAGACTTTTTAATCATTTTTCCTCTGCTGTCCAACACTGGAACACGGTGGAATTTACGTTAACGAGGAAGCAGAAACATTAGAGGCGCACCGATACAACTTCATACAGAACTGAAGGAAACCTAAGTGCTTCTTTCAGAGTCTCAGAATCTAAGAAGCGATTATATTATTCATGCTGTTGTCAGTAGTATACCATAATATGATAAACTTAAACATGAATGTTACAGAAGGGTATCCAAAAATAGTCAAATGACGGTTTTCTTGCATCAAACTGATCATTTTTCTTTCTGGCATCGAATTATCTTCGATGCCATGATACAGTCACATGTGAGAGACCTAAAAGTTTAAAGTGCTCAGCTTAAGGCAGCATTGTTCATCGTAAAGAAGAAATGATTACTCTGTTTATTGTGCAGTTTCTGATAACGGATTGATTACGAGCATTTGCATTAATGAAGCCGAAAAGGTTAAAAAAATTTTAAAAAAGCTTTTCAAATTAGTTAGAGTTTCGGCTTCTCCAGTCTGAAGACTTCCTGCTTTTCTGTATATCATTCTGAACTTAAGTGAGTAGCTTTTAGTTTGTCCAGTGGCTCCAGATCTCACAGATCTTTTGAGATTAAAATTTATAATCCAGTTGATCCAAATAAACAACTCAATAAAGTGTTAATGGAGAATCGTCATAGCTGTAGCTCTAGTCCGTGACAGCCTGTAAGCTTTTATTTCAGACTCAATAAAAAGTTTGTCTTGTGACATCACAGGAAAGGTTTAGAAGGAATTCAAATACCAGGGTTCACACTCCAGGGAGCAGAACATGACCTGTGCATTGCAATCTGTTGGATCTCAACATTTCTGATGTTTGCATCATCCCCAAAGAACATGAATGTTCAGGCATTATTTCATAAAAATCTTCTTGTAGTTGTGAATCAAACCATAATCATCCTTGAGATTCATCCTCGGAAGACCATGAATATCCACAGGGAGTGTAATATTGCTCTGTTTGCTACCACTTTAGGGTGCAGTAATGGGTGAATGAGGCTTGTAGTATAAAGTGCTTTGAGTGCTCAAGGAGAGTAGAAAAGCACTTAATAAGTATGAGGCCATTTACCATTTTAAAGCGTGCAGGAAGCATTACTGATTTTATTTGCTTCTTCAGAAGTGATCATCATCAGCATCACATCCATGTCGTACTTCTTACCACTGCTAGCTTGGAAGGCCACAACGTCGGGAGCTCACTTTTTGAAAGTATTTGAATATAATCTAAGATTAATGATTTCCAAAATCTTCACTTAATCTTTCAAAGCTTAGCAGAGAGCGGAGATGTTGTTCGCGATGCCTATTTTGTTTTTGGAGGCAGTCCCACAAGCACAAAGCAGCTGTAGGTTTCCTGATGCTGACAGTCCACAGAGTGTTATGGCTCCTTTATCCTTTACAGCTGTGGTGGGCTTCAGTGTGCTTGTGGTGACTGTGGTGAATGTTTCCCTGCTGTTTTTCGAGCTTGAAGGAAGAGCTCTCCAGTCTTTGTCGCCGCTCGTTATTTCCCACCTCTTTACCTTCTCAGTGTGAGGCCGAGCCGTGCGGCGTTTAGCAGAAGTATTTATTAAACCTGTTAGCTGTGTGCAGCGGGGGAGGTGGCTGCCATTTCCTGCAGTGCTGAAGTCGCATAGGAATGCAGGATTAATGACACCTGTACAGGCTCGAGTCCGCTAACACCCTCTCCGCACAGCACAGCACAGCACAGAAACTCTAATTACAACCCGAGGCTTGGCATATTACCGGCAATAATTTGCACCAGTAAAAGTGAGCTGGTTTGGAAGTTCATTCATTCTGAGGCTCATGTTAATGGCTGCTGAGGATAATGTGAGATTTCACCTGTAGTGATGCACGCCAGCTGGGAGTGGATGGATGAAAGGAAAGGCACAGTGAGAGAGTGTGCTGCAAAAAAATCTCCCGAACAAGTCATTTAGTCTCACACTGAACTGGAAAGTCATAAAATAAAGCAAAAACTGTGGTGAGATTATTTTCATCGGCGTCCATCCCTACCTGGGATTTACCTGACAGCTTCTCAGGCAACTGATTAAAACATTTACATTTACTCTGATGTATATTTTCATGAAGGCTTGTATAACTCCAACCTAGAATCAAGGTCAGATGTTGAGTTTTATTGAAGAGCCATTTCAGAACATGCACATATTCACCCATAGAACTACTTCCAGCAAAGTACAACTGATGGCTGAAATTAAGCAACATATTTTCAGAATTTACAAGAAAGTCGTTCAATTTTGTTCACTTTTCTCAAGGCCCTCTCTTTAATTTTTATTCTCTTTTATTCATGTCCCCATATAAAACTACTACCCATAAACGCAGACAGTAAGATAGGCATTAACCAGTCCATGTGTGATTGTCAGCTGCATCAGAAGAATCCACAGTCTGTGAGACTCTCGGCTAATAGAAGCATGGCCGCCTCTGTTTGTGTCACCAGAGAGATAATCACATAACACAAAAACTCTGCTTTGCATTTAGTCTGAACACAGCATAACATGCACCTTTTTCTTTTTGCATTTTTGGGCCTGGAGAAGAAATAGTAATGCACATCTACTAGGTGTCCATAATTAGAAATTTCAAATTATAAATCCCTTTGCCTTAACAGCTTCATCAAATTAAGACTGTACAGAGAATATAACTCTTCATGTCTTCTAATAATTGTTGAAAGGCGCTACAAAATCTGGTAATGTTGCAAAGACTGGTTAAAATGAAAAGTGGATGTGCAGACTCTGCATCCAAAAAAACTGATTTTGATCTGTAATCTGAATACCAGCAGATCTGCCTGACCCACTCGATTCTGGAAGGAGACAGATGTACCTTTGGGCTTCCGTCAGGAAGGGCGTTCAGCATTAAAAAAATCTAACAAATGAAACGTGCGGAGCTGCTCACTGTGACGAGCCATTGGGAAAAAGAGAACAGCTGACAGTAGCTTTATCCACAGATTTGTCAGTCCATCAATTAAAAAAGAAAATGTTCATTTTAATTAAAAAAAACCTCTTCAGTTAATCCTACACATATATGGGACTTATACATGACAGATATTAAATTCTGCTAGAAAGTGAATCTGCCTCATGTTGTCATTTCCAGAACTGCTCCTTTCCAGAAAAAGGCAACAGATTTGTGACTGTCTCACTCACACGAGCACAAAAGTCTTGATGAGCCTAAATGACTAGTCATTAATGTTTTACAGCATGTGACATGAACATCCTTTTCTCACAATCAAAGAGGGAACATCAAAGCGATGCCAACAAGCTGAGCTGCCAGCGAAGAAAACACGGCAAATTGGGGCTATCGGAAGGGTCACGCAGAGGTCGTGTTATTGTTCTATTAGGCAAACAGTCGCCTTCACCAAGAGTTTCACAGTGATTCATGGCGCTGCCTTTTTGCTGTTGTTTTTGATGCATAATTGCTTCTTATTTTAGCATTTAGCATTTGGTGTATTGAAGCTCTCCGTGTGGGCTGTGTATGGTTCAAAGCGAGGTTTCTCCGTTGCCTCGACAATATTTGATTTTTGATTGATGCATCTCCCTCTTAAGAACCTGCACACACGGTCATTGTGTTCTGCATATAAGTCAGCCATCATTCAGCCACCATTCAGTCCCCACTGTGACACAGATTTAGAGTTCATAGGCCCCAGCGCCGCTCCTCGCCTTCCCCGTTCTTCCTCGGGTGATTTAAAGCTCAGAGTTCGGATTGATTATTTACAGGCCAACCTTAGAGGCCCATGTTGACTTTCCTCCTTCCTTTTCCCCTTGCCACGCTTCAAATTCAGCGTGAGTGAGTAATTATATTATTTTCTGTGATGCTTACCCACAGCCTGGATGGGCGATAAACTCCCAAGTGCCCGACGTCTTATGCTGTGCACGGCAAAGATAGGGGAGAGGGGGAGAGGTCATATAGCATCGGTATGACCTCAGCTCTTTCGCAGCAATTAACCCCAGACAAAGAAAAATGAACCCTGGTAATACCTGATGACCTTTGGTGAACTCTGCTGTCGCTGTTTGCTCTTTAGGCCTCCCGTAGTTTTGCTTGTGCATTAAAGCAAACGCGGGTACTGCTGGCATGTTTGCACAGTCACATCAGGCTTATGATGCTTAATACAGGCATGAAGAAATGTGTCAGGGCTTGAGCGTTCCTATATTAGAGGTCCAAAAGTACGTGGACACGTAAATGTTCGCGTCTTATTGTTAAACATGTGGTTACAATAACAACCTCTGGAGCTGAAAAATGAAGCAAAGTGTGAACTGTCAGAACTCCCATGTTTACTGCAGCCTTGTGGACAACGTCCTCCAGTTCTAGGGTGAATTATAATTACTATTATTATCATCATTATTTTAATATTATTATCATTTTAAATTCATATGGGTGTGTGGCCACTTTGATTGACCAAATTAGCCATTCAGTACCGGCTTGTCCTCACCTTTGTTAATCTGAGTCGCTAAACTGGACTTCTCAATTGTAGTTGTGCTGTCGGTGTACTTTGAGCATTTCTAATGTGCTTACTGGACAAATGAAATAGCTTACATTGCGATACAGCCCATACAAGAAGACTTTGCTTCCACTGTGATGTATGAATTTCAGTATTTCATTTGTATCTCAGCAGATGAGTGGGTCTGTGTGTTGAGGTGGAGTGCTAAGTAATCAGCTTACTATGATGCTTCAAAATGTGGAGCCCACAGCCAATGGGAGAGGTCATGGTGGCTACATCCATCCATATACAGTCGATTACATCATCATGGGTACCAGCAGATTTTGGAACCCAGTAACAGAAATTTGCAGTTGTTTGGTAACAAAGCCTGTCATGTGGTCCAGCTTATCCCAAAGGTGTGAGCTGTGGTTGCGGTCAGGCTCAGGTTACGGCAGAGTGGGAAAACCATTTTGAGAAAATCTTTCTTCTTATGTTCTTTTTTCAAGTAAAGCACAGAGTCAAACTATGAAGTTCAAAAAAATCTGAAAAAAAATGTTGATTAGTTCAGATACAACCAGCCATATCATATACGGAACAGTCATTTCAGACTTTTTTGCAATGTTAGGTAAAAACCCCACGTCAAAAGGAGAACCAGCAAGAACTTGGCAACAGTCAGTGTTGGGTGGAACACATTGCTGTAATCACATTACATCTTTCAGTAATGCAGAAATTAAATGTGGGTGTATGCAGACTCCAGCCCAGCAGCCAGAGACTGAACGTCAGCAGGTAACAGAGGCAGTGATGAGCAGTCAGGGTTACACCTCAGTTTCTACCTGTTCATGTTTCTAAACTAGAATCATTGTGGCGATGGCTTTGAAGTCTCTTTTCCATCTTTGCTTTGTGCTGTGTTCATATGTAAATACTGAAGGATCGTATATCCTCATCAGGAATAAGGATTTATGTTGGTGTGTGGGACTGTAGCGTGAGGTTTACATTAACTGGTGATTATGAGACAATGTGTTTCAGATACGCCTGCATAGTAACAAGAAATTAATAAATGAGTAGTGTAACAAATTACTTTCTCTGGTGAGCATACTGCATTACTTTTAAGAAACATGACAAGTAATGTGTAATGCATTACTTTTTTTTAAGTAAAACAGGGTTCCAGTGAGGAAGGAGAAATTCTTTTTACTATAAAGACCCCTGAGCCAACAGAGCCAGGCTCAGGGAAAGGCAGCCATCTGGGCCTACAGCAGCATAACTAAGGGAGGGTTTAGGGTCACCTAATCCAGCTTTATTAAAAAGGGATGATAATCTGAGGCTAATATTAAAAGTAGACACAGATTTTTATTTATTTATTTATTTTTTGGAGGGGGGGCACGATCTAAAACATTGCATGACCATAAGTGTTTGGTGTCTCAAACAAGCACTTCCTGCTCCCTGGTGGAACACGTGAACCCCAAAATCCACCACCACCCATCAGCCCCTAGCAGAACACAGGTGTCTCTGCATGCAGTGCACTCACATCCTGCTGCTTTTAAATAGAGGGAGCTTTCCAGTTACAGAAAAAGAGTATATCTGTGTTTATTTCTGATTCTGCCAAAGTATAGAATATTAGATATTCCAGAATAAATATAGATGATAAAAATATTCAGCTGGGCCTGAGAGAAAGAAATAAAACAGCAATTTAATGTATAATCTTTTTATGGAGCTTGAGTCAGCTGCAGTTCGTCCTTTCAGTCAGCAAACACAGACATGAGGAGCTTTATAAAAAAATCTGATGCGTTATCAAATATAAGCATCTCTAAGGGAAAGGATATTGATCAGAAACTGTATTTGACATTCATAGCTGAGTGCAACTTAATGCATATGTATCTACAGTTTTCTTTCCTTTTTCCGCCTTCATACTTCTGTGCAGCTTTTACTAATAAAACGCAGCAAGTTTACCTCTCAAAATCATTCGTGAAAACTGTTTTAGGATTAAAACGCAGACCTTAAATTAAAAATGTGCTTTTTGCCATTTCAAAATGTTTTACCACCAAAACAAAAAAACATTGGTTTACCCTTGATGTATTATTAACAGCTAAAGTGCCCTACCATAGTTTGCTTCTGAAACACTTTATAGACTGATTCATGACTCCAACACATAAACATCTCCCAGGAACGGTTTATTTTTAAAATACACATTGGTTTACTACTGACAGGCATTATTTATGTATGAAATCCACAGCTGTACTTAACAGTGGAGAAAAGTTTGCTTTCCTAAAACGCAGACTGTCTCAAGTCGTCAGACTCTTAAAGCTGAACTTATTTATAGTCATTGCTTAACAATGACACGAGTCGTTGTGACATACCTTTGACATACACGTGTTACCAACTCTCGAGCCTTACTCATGGGTTGTTTTGGCGCTCTCACCTGAAGCTTAAATTCACTTTAAAGAAGCAAAAAAGAAGCAATCTAATCTTCCAAGGCTAAGATAAAGAAGGATTATGTTGAACTCTAAATCATGAAAAGTCACTCAAATTTCAACACAAAGATCAATGGATAAGCAACAACCAGCTCTTAAGTGGATGCTGTTGCTTTGTACAACAGTCCAGAGTTGTTCATTAGATCAGCTTTAGGAGAGTACAGTTTGAGACGCAGTCTGTAGTTCCTACTTTTAAAACATTTTCATGAACAGCCCTGATCCAGCTGTGAAACTCTGGTGGTCCCTTTATGGATCACGTCTATATCTGTGAGTTCAGCTGAACGGTGGATTTTACAGTTTGAACAAAAGGTGAATGTTTTTGGTTTGCGAGTTACTCGGTTTTGCAAAAGGTTCACTTTGTTCTAACACACAACGGGATTGATTTAATTCAGCATTTTTCCCTCCTCGGGCTGACTCTGTCAGCGGTGTCGTGAGTCTGTCGGTAACATAACGACTCAGTGAATTCATCTTTCCTCTCTCTTTCTTCTGTCCACTTATATTTAGACCGGAACCACTTTGTGGCTCTCGTGTAATCAGTGTTTTTATATCTGGGGCGTTTGCATTGATAATTGTGTTTAAGTCACAGAAATAAACGGCAGCTTTCAAAGGGAAACAAGAGACCTCTGTTTATTTTTGAAATTCTTCATAACTGCCACATCTCTGCTTTGCCTGATCTATTTAAGGGTCAGTTTTACGCTCAATGTTGACTTTTGTAAACAACTTTAAAGAGGCTGAACTAAGTGTACTTGAACCGTCATGACTTTTACCACTTTGAGCACCAGAAGCCTGGGTCCTACATTGAATATTACTGCATCAGACTCTAAACTCATGTTTGAGGTTTAGTTATTATTTTTGATGAAAAGACCATTTGGCCACCATTTGAACGCCATTGTCACCATGCTAATTTGATTTGCGTGACGGTAACCGGTGGATTCTTTGACTTGCACTTCTGGTGTGCAGAAGTCTACAGAATAAAGGCGGGCGATCACATGAGAGCTGCAGACGAGTTCCACATGAAATCACGTGATAGACTTTGGAGTGGCTTGCTGTTTTTTGGTTGTGTATTATACTGAGGCTGGAGTCTCCGCAGTCGAAGCTTCAGCTGAGCATGAAACAAACCAACTTTATAAATATTATACATTTTTGTTGTTGTCACAGTTGTTTTATCAATGTTATGGAATCAACACTGCTATAGACATACTGTATGAATATAATTGGTTGTTGCTGTTTTCTTACCAGACGCGGCATGTAAATGATGATGATGATATCTGTTTTCTGAGCAGGCAGACTGGACTCTGTGTTTTCTATTTCTTTACTCCATCGTGACTGAAAGCCAGACCCGGCAAGCTGAATGGAGAATGTGAAAGTTTAGTTATTTTGCGATTACACAATCAATAAAATTAAATGTTGATTTCCCAAAACATAAAACAGTTGATCTCGACAATAAGACGAGAGCCACGTCTTGGTTTGCGTGAAATGGATCTTTGTCGACGGTGCCTGCAGACACCTTTACCATTATGCGATCTCTTTGGGTGATGCAACAAAAAAAGGGGAAGAATACAAAATTACAGAATCACGTACTTATCTCACGTAACTACGTCGATTTTTCTGGTAATGATGAGCAAAGGATGTGACATCTGGAGAGAAACTAAAGTAAACAGAATTTCTTGGAGCTCCTAAAGTGCTAATCTGTGCTTTTTATGTGTTATTTTGTGTGCTGAAATTAAAAGGACTTTAAGGGCTCCATTAAAATTCTTTGAAGAAAGGAATTAATCAGTTTATAATCACTTCTTTTGATGTCATTTATTTATCTCCCAGAGATATCTGATGGTTACAAAAAGAAGAAAAAGAGAAGAAATCGGGACCGCAAATCAGCCAAATCAGTGAAAAAATAACTACAAGGTTATCATCATCACACAAAGTGATGTTAGTGGAGATAACTATTGTATAAGGGGTTTTTTGTTGTTGTTGTTTTTCTTTTTTCTTTTTTTTTGAGAAAGGCAAAGTTATTTATTTGAGATGTGGTTGTGAGAATTTTTTAGGGTCCTAAAATTATTTTGTTGTAACCTTGGAGGTAAAAATCCCAGAAAACAAATTCTAAACGGTGGCATTGGGCTTCCTTGTGTGAAGAATGTTGTAAAGATTCATATTGTTTTAGAAGAGAAGAAAACAGCAGGACAGAACCGCCGAATCACTTTTCGTCTTTACAGGAAGTCCACGTTTGTAGCCTAATTGTTGGTTGGTTATATTTATATAGGAAAAATGCTAGTGATGCCTTGTTTTTTGTACAGTTTTATGTACATGCAAGTGTAGGTTTTTAAAAAAAAAAATGTCAATAAAAAATATATATATATTCAAACAACATGAAGGAAGTCTGACCTTGAACCTGTAGGATTATATCGTCTCAAGTACCGTAGGCTCTATTAAATGTAGGAGTGATGCGTCAGGCTCAGAGCGGAGGTTGGCAGTGCGCCTCCTCCAGTCACCCGTCTGCTTTACCGCTTTCTGTTCTCTCATGTTCATCTCAGCCGAGTCTTAAGACAAACTGTACATGAATTTTTGTTGTTTTCAGTCTTTTAATTTTCTTGGAGGAAGTTGGGTAATGTGTTTGTTTGAGCCTCATCTGTTCTCTTTTGATCAACATTCGCATGTTTGAATTTGAAAAAAAAAATGTGGTCTTTTATTTTTGCTGAGCAAATCAAAGAAATGATATCTTGTAATTACTCCTTCCTTATAGCTTTACAATAAAATACATCAGTCAAAGAAACATCCCGGCTGTCGCTCAGTTTGTCTTGCAGGTGTCAGTCTGCAATGAAATCACGTGTTTTTACTAGAAAACAATGTGGCTTGCTCTTATTGGCCAGCATAAAATCTAGAATACTGGATCCGTTGTTTCTGATTAAGAAATGTTGCTATGCACGTTTCTGCAGTGAATAAATGTCTTTGGCATATTTCTGTGCAGCGCAGGTCAGCAAAGCTCTTGGGACAAATCTGAACGTGCCAATCAAAAACAAAAGCCTCCTGTAAATCTCCCTGCCACTGAATGTGCCAGAGTGCAAAATCACACAAAAGAACCAATCAAATAAATATCAAAAACTGCGACTTGCAGTGCCTTCAACCATTCAACGATGCAAGGGTGGGTGTTGCTGTCCTGAACAATAGCGTATTTTCCCAACGTCAAAATCTCTTGATTTTATAAAAGTGGGAAGACATTACAGCCTTCATCACACTTTTAAGAAAATAATCTGAACGAACTCATATACAAGGACCTACGTTACCTTCATGAAGCAATTCAAATATACAGTAATGCCTTGTAACAGGATGTCTGTGATCCATTTACACTATCACACGTTTAAAGTCACCAACACAGCGTACCAGGCTGAAGCTGTGTTAGAGTAAAATTGTAGGTTATGAGGTGATTTCCAAACAGTTTGCAGTTCCTCATTTTACAGTGAGAGAGATTCACAAGTGAAAAACATTCAAGGTGCTTGCCAATGTTCCAATGAGTGGACCTACCAGCAAATTCACATTGAGGTGGAGCCTGCCTTTGAGCATCGCACGTTCTGATCTCAGACAGGTTAGGATGTTAAATAAAAAACTGGAAACAGGAGAAACACTGAACAAGTGTGGTTTGTTTCCAGGAGAAAAGCCTCTTCTCTCTAAAGAGAACATGGCTGCACAGCTTAGCTTAGCAAAGCTCCCCCTGAACAAACCACAAGACTATATATAATAATATTTTGTGGCAAACTCATGCATTGCCATTAAAAAAAAAAGAAAAAAATGAAATAGCAAAATTCTATGTGATAACTTTTTTGTAGTTGTACGTTTATCCACCAGTCTCCACTGATGATGATGACATCATATCCTTGTTTCAGTGGAGGACATTTTATTTATTCTAAAATAGTTATTAGACTGTAAATCTATAAATTCTTCTTCTTATTTTTTTTTTTTAAAAGCCCCATACACTGATGTTTTCACAGCTCACACCACTACAGTTGGATGAGAACGAGCATTTGAAGTCTAAAGTCAGAGAACCAGGGGGTCTAATTTTGCTTTCATGAGTTAGTTTGTTAATCGCTTTTTTATTAAGCTGATGCACAAATAACAGCTGACTGAAGTAAATGTGATGCTCTGTGTCCACATGAATACCTTGATAATTTATGTTAAAAAAAAGACACAATTCACACAAGCAAACAAATTTTAAAAAGTGAAAACTTTTATTTGGAGAGAACATTTTAAGAACCAACAAGGTTTATGAAATTAAAAAGAAACATGATTAAGTCATATACCTGCTATATATGCACTCATGCACTCATCCATAGGTCAATAACTTTGTCATGAAGTGATGAACATAGGAACTGTGCTTAATATTTCTTGTATACCTCTTGTTTCAAAATGTGCAGCTTTTACTTTGAAGGCGACCTGTCGCTGTGTCTGGTTTGTCTTGCTCTTGTTCGCTGATGTCTTGGTGCACAGATCTACATCACACGCCCTCGTCCATATCCAAAGTGACCATATGAAAAACAAAATGTACACATTATTTAGACAATATTTGCATCTGAAGAATAAATTCACATGTATAACCATCTATATTTGCTTAACGGGGTCAAGGAAAATAGGGAACACCCACAAACTGGCGTTTCTCATTATACAACTTGAACAACTGCACATGAATTATACTTTTTACATTGCAGACTCCCTTCTGTGAACATCCACTGTACAAACCAAAGTCTAAAATAGTTTCCAGGAAGATTGCAAGGATTTAGGCTCTCAGTCACTGGATGTGCTTTTAGGAAAGCTGAAATGAGTCAGTCAATAAAACTGTGAAAAATAAATAGAATTGGGTTCGATGACACAAAAGAATTTGCAACAGCCATTAGCTTGTCACAAGAATGATGTTCATGTTCCTGCTGTTCACTTAGTTAAACACGAGCCTTGTTACATGTGTCGCTTCAGAACGGGGACAATGCCAAGCACAATTTCACGTCGGCTGTCTTTATTTAACACTTTTTATACCTCTGCACAGCCACATCTGCAGACACATCTGTCCCTTCCCATAAACCTGCAGATGCTGAGTCTAAATGAAAGATTGATGGTCAGCCTGATGGAGGGGTTACATAAGGGGTCTGTGTTATGTACCTGGAGTAAATACTCCAGTCTGAAGATGATCATTGAGACCATGACTCTCTTCTTGGCTTCCAAAAGCATGAGAGTCTTTCATGTAGGCATAATAAAAGTAAACCTAACTGCCCATTTTAAGGTCTGTGGATGGAAACAAAGCTTCTGGTTGCACAGATTTATAACATTTTAAATCACACTCTATGGCTGATTAGCTCAAATTAGCATGCCACTATATCTCTAAACAGTTCAAACAAATCCACCTCCTAAACATCTGCAGCGCTTTAATTTAACAGGCCTGCTGTGTCATGTCGTTCAACAGCTGTAAAAAACAGGATGTTTTGTGTGAAGTTGTGGGACAGATGAAAAGAACTATAGTGATAAAAAAATATTAGACTTGTGGAGAGCTGAGACATCAAAGTCACGAACCAGGGCTAACTGAACTAGGACAGTGCGTTACGAGTGAAAATTGTGTTTGGTGGAAACTGAAAATGTAATGCAAGAGCACATCCGAGTTTCAGGTAAGTGCCAGTTTTTGTGCTTTCTCCCTCCCCTTGACTATGGCAGATGGACGCCCCTCTCAGACCCTGCTTCTGCTGGAGGTTTTCCTGTTAAAAGGGTGTTTTTCTTTCCCAGTATTGCCAAGTGCTTGCTCAGAGGGAATCTTTTTATTGTTGGGGTGTTCTCTGTATTGTCTTTAGCTTACAATATAAAGCATTTTGTGGCAGCTGCTGATTTAGTGCTATATAAATAAAACAAGACTGAATTAAAGTAATTAAAGTAATTAAAGTAATTTGAATTGCAAATTACTTTCCAAGTATTTTTTAAACATTTTTTCCTGCAGACAGCAAAATCCCAAACCAAGCGTCAAAATATGGAAATTACATACAAAGGTTCAATCTATGATTTTTTTTAAATAAAGAGTTAAATCTAATCCCAGCTGTGCCAATGTGGAAATTTGAACATCTATGGCCTCCTGCTGGGAAGGCTGTATTTTCTGATCAATATCAGCTGAAAGCAGAACCTCAGGAAACAGCCGACCTCTCTTTCCAAGTGTCCTTTTGTTGGACTTCCATTATTCCTTATTCTGTAGTCCACAAACTTTTGTCCAATTTAAAATAAATAACTTGCATTGGCTGATACCAATAACCTGCTAAAGTGATTTATTTTTTTGTCACATTATTAAGAAGGTCTGACTGATCAAACTTTCAGCTACACTTTGTAACCTATTTGTAGCCTAAATTCCCGGCGGACGACCTCGGTTTCTCCATGGGAAGAAAAAGCAGATTTTGCTGTCCCGGTTTCCCAGTGATGGAGAATGAACAGTTTCCACGGGTATACTTCCTCCCATTCTCAGCATAAAACGTTTCCGGCTCCATCTTCAGAGTGACTTACAGCCTTTTCAGCGTCGCTCACCTGATGTTCCTAAGGAGTCGTAAACACCTCGCCTCGGTTTCTTCAGCGTTATTGGATTCCACTTCAGGAAATTGACTCGTGAATCCTCAAGTTGCAGAGTGTCATGCCCTAAAGTGAGACACCACCCAATCACATTTCAATAAAAACAAACCCTGTATGTGGCTGCTGTGTACGAGGAATATCAAACAGACTCGGAGGAAGGCACTTTGACACTGTGCTTATAGCGCTGTTGCATCGCATTACAGCAGTAAATTGAAATTCAGGGCAAAATGATTAAATTCATTGCCGCACAATATTTCTGGGAACAACAAAAAGAAAATATTATCACAGCTTGTTTTGAGGAGGATGACACACTTGCAGCAGGTTGCTTTTCTCCCCCCTTTTTTTTTCCCCACAGGTTTTTATCACTTTACCCTATTTCTCATCTTCTAGTTTATTTAGACTGTTTGTCTTCACTTGCCTCGTCCTCCTCCTTTTCTCCTCATCCATGCTTTCACTGTTGCAGCCCAAGTCGTGCACACTTCATGCATCTTATCCCCCACATTTAATTTCTCCCTTATTTTTTTGCTCTTCTATTTTCTTCTACTTTTTGGTGATTTATACTTTATTCTCACTTCTTTGTCACCTGTTGCCTTTCCTTCACTTGTGTCCTTCCAAACCTTATTGCCCCATCTGGCCTTTTAATTCCCTCAATTTTCTCTCTAATCTTTTTTTTTGTTGCATTCTTTTCTTCCTTACCAAGTTTTTTCCTTTTAAGCTCTTCTCTATTTTCCCTCATCTTTATCGTTTGTTTTCCGTGTTTCCAGTCTTTCCTTCTGTCCCCTCTCTCTCACTGCATCAATGGTTTGTGTGTCCTTGCCTTCATCATTGTTTCCTGTTTGCTCCTTTATTTTTCTCTCCACTTTTACCGTCCATCATATCTTCATTGCCATCTTAACCTTCTGCCTCTTTATCTTTCTGCTTATTCCTGCCTTTCAGCTTCTTTCAGCTCCTGTTTCCTTCATTCCTTCATTTTGACGGCTTTGTTGATTTTTTCCTTCTTCCAGCCAAATCCCCCCCCCCAGAAACCTGTGTGTGTGTGTGTGTGTGTGTGTGTGTGTGTGTGTGTGTGTTCCTCGGAGGTAGTGCTGTCTCAAACCTGTTTCAGGGCCACTTTCTATTGAAAAAGAAAAAGAGCCATCATGCCAAGGAAGGTGTTTGTGAACAGACCAAAACAACTGCATGCT